GCAAGGTTTTTAAATTTAGCATCTCAAAGCTTTGGTGTCTCATCCATAAAATGAAGATAATAATAATCATGTTGTTAGGATCTAATGAGATAGCTCATGTAAAACGCTAGGCCCAGAGCCTGAAAAAGAGTAGCACTTCATAAACGTCAAAATGTATCCTACAGGGGGAAAAAAAGGAATAAAATGTTCTCAACTGAGTAAAAAAAATAACACCTTCTTTGTACCCCACATTTTTCTAGAGGTTTTTGTATTCATGGTTTCTCTCATCCTGATGTGACACTTAAAGGTAGGATAGCCAGTATCATTTATTTTCATGTTACAGGAAGTGAGGTATCTGGAGACCTCTGTGGAAATGGGAATGTCCATCCATTTGAAGAGTTGGCTAATATTTTAGACTTTTGTCTTGCAATATTAATTATTACAGTGGATTCAGTGTGCGCTAAGCATGAAGTGCTTGGAAGAGCACATCAGTGCACCATAAATACTGTTACTATCTCATTGAATCTTCATATTCCTCATGAGATCCAAATGATCATTATTTACATTTTATAGAGGAGGAGATTGAGGCTTAGCGAGGTGGTGATGTGATTTGCCCGAGTTGGTTTTTGGGTTTTTTGTTTGTTTGTTTGTTTGTTTGTTTTTTCCCAAAGTTTTTTTCATCCCATGTTCCCCTGGCCCATGACTACTGGGATGGCAGGTTACAAACAATAGATAATACAAATTGATATATGACGCAGGTTGATAACTAGTAGCATAGGTAGATAATACACACTGAAGGAGAACCAGAACGCTTCACGTTTGGCCGATAGGAAGCATTTTTGTGTTTTATAAATTTGAATCTTGAGTATTTCTGCTGTAACTTAATACTTCAAACAAAACATCTCTGTTGTCTTATTTTCCTTTACTTGGCTTGAGCTCCCCATTCAAGATGGGTATGAAAAATAGGACTCTTCTGACCATCTGCTAGCCTACAAGCAGCTGCTTTATTGCCAGATTTACTCACTAATATTCTCCCTAAAGGCAGGGGACATAATCAAATACTGATGATGTTAGTGCAGGAACAGCAGCTTCCAACAGCGCAAGGAAGGAAGTAAGATTGTCTACAAATGATGTCTATCTGGAAGTATTCTCAAACAGTTAATCCTTATTAACAGATAATCTTGTCACATGAAATTAGAATGTGCTTTGATTAGTTTAAGCATTTGACATTGCTGGATTTGTATGAGATTGTATAGAATAAAATAATATGGGAAATTTCAAGGATAAATGTTACCTGAAGCACGTTATAAAACCCCCGATTAGAGACTCTTAAACCACTTTTAAAAAACTTATTCCAGTGTAAATATTACCCGCATTTTTCAAATGAGAAAAATAAAACACTGAGGTATCAAATAATTTGTCCTTGGTCATTTAGAGAATTGGAAAAAGAAATGTAAAAGAAACCAATTCTTAGAAATTTAAAGTCAGCTCAGTTTAACTATCTGGCTAGTCATAATTGTATTAATTTATGCTTCATAGTCTATAGTTCCATACTGGTAAAGGTAATAATTTTTCAAAAATGAAAAATCTAAATGGTGAGGATGTTAAAGCCATCATAAGATTGTATAATTATGTTTAAAATTATAATGTGTTGGTCTACAGGAAGCAGAGGAAAAAAGCATAAGATAAACGAACCAGCTAGAAATCTAGTGGAAAGTGCCTTCTAGGTTCTGAGTGGTCTATTCCTCAACATTTTATTTGGAACAACTAACCGTTAATTCTCCAATCCCGCTGATTGAGCTCCCCCCACCTGTCCCCATTGAGCTTTTATCCTAGAACCAACTCTCTTCATAGGAGACTCAGCACAAGTAGAACAGTGATATTGCCAGTTATTTTAGCTTAAACTATCTATATTGCTCTCTGAATAGAAATGAAACTCATTCTGGTTGAAACTGGTCTGGGAAATTATTCTCCTTGCCAGGTAGTAACAATACATACTAAGCTTTTGTTATTGATTGTAACAAAATAGTGTTTCTTGGACGATTAATACCTTTTATAATTTATTTTGTTTTTATACTTTGTATCTTAAACCTTTTATTCTTAGTGCCAAACCTGAATTAAAATGGATTTGTTCATTACTACTGGTGATTTTTTTTCTAAAACCTAGGCTATATAAAAAATTTAGGTCTTAAGTCTTAACACAGCATATGACCTTTGACCCAACAGCTGCCCTCCAAAAAAAAGTGGGACCCATTCAATTCACAAAGATAGCCACTGCTACTTACAAAACTTTACAGATGGGGGAAATACAAAGGCAGCACTGCTTTTTTGTTCCTGGGTTTAAAAATACATGTACTTGAGCTAAAATAACTAGATTAATGGCCAAGAGCCAGGGTAGAAATGGATTTTCCACTGTTCAAAGGGGCCAAAGTTTCCAGGGGAAAAATTTCTGTAGCTAAAACTAAATAATAAGGAATTGAAGTATATGTTGAACTTCCAAGCTTAAAAACTCTTGTATTTTCTCTGAAGCTTATTGTAGACCCAGGTCTTATTAGTTAACCTGTTTGCCCCCAGTAGCATCATTTGGATAGTGGTTTATGCTTGGTGTTAATTAATTCATTGTTTTTCCTATTTTAAGTTAGGACTTACACCTAAGCATTTCAAGAATTATATCGAGAAGCTAAATTATATTTTCCCCTTTTTCAGGTAAGCTGAACTAAGAATAATCTTAAGAAAGAACACAGATCTGGGCTTCTTTTTATGACTGCTTATATGCTAGTAGGGCAGTTAGCTCTGTATCTGTTGCCTTATATTCTTACCCATTGAGACTCAGCGTCATAAGATTATTAAAGAATTTTAAATGATTTTTTTAAGGTTTTATCTTTTTATTAAAACTTAGGTTCTCAACATCCAGACTTGGTCTCCTAAGATTTTTATAAGAATTTTAAAAGAGATATTTGAAAAGTAGTTTTATCTTTTTATTAAAAAGTAATTATTTTCTAATGAAGTTATTAGATTTTAAAAATTACTGAAAATCTCATACATTGCTGATGGGAATGTAAAATGGCACAAGCACTCTGGAAAATGGTTTGGCAGTTTCTTACAAAGTTAAGTTGTAAGTTTCTTACAAACATAACAATTAACATATGACGCAGCAATGGAACTCCTAGATACTTATCCTGGAGATATGAACACTTAGGTTCACAAAAAAACCCATATGTGATTGTCCATATCAGGTTTATTTGCAGTTGCAAGAAACTATAAGCAACCCAAATGTTCAATGGGCAAATGTATAAATTGTGATGCATTCATGCTATGGAACACTACCAGCCAAAAGGAATAGACTATGGATAACACCCAGCAACTTGGATGGTTCTTATGGACATTGTGCTGAGTGAAAAAGCCAGTCTCAAAGGTCACATACTGTATGATTCCATTTATATAACATTCTCACAATGACAGAATTACAGTGAGTGAGATCAGTGGTTGCCAGGACTGTTGGGAAGGGTGTGGCTATAAAGGGGTAGCATGAGGGAGATCCTTGTGTTAATGGAACATTTCTGTATTATAACTGTGGTGATGGTTATACAGATTTATACATGTGTTCATAGGAACAATGCACCCCCTCCCACAAATGAGTGATATAAAAACTGGTAAATACAAATAGTCTGTAGTTCAGCTAGTAAGTGTTGTGCCATTGTCAATTGTCTGGTTTTGATCTATACTATGGTTATATAAGTTACCATTAGGGGAAGCATACCTGAAGTCTCTGTGCAGTTTTTACAACTTCTTGTGAATGTTAAATGATTTCAAAATAAGCTTAAAAGCAAAACAGGGGAACTGAGAAAAGATAGAAATAGCAGCTGCGGCCACAGGTCCGTGTAATCAGGTATTGAGACTTGCCATTTTGCAGAGAAACTGGTAGGGGAGTCATCATTGGCTTTGGGGCTTTATGGCTACTGGTTGTGAATGGAGCTCAAACAGATGAGAGGCTCTAAAAACACAGGATGAATGGACTTCCAGTTAAGCACAGCAGACTGACCATGGGTTTTTTTTGTTTTTTTGTTTTTTTCTTCTAAGAATACATTGAAATGATAGCAGAACTTAAAAAGGAATTGGGGGGGAACCCCATAAATCCATGGTGTAAAAGCTTGAAAAAAGACTTAGCAGTTGACAAAAGGCCTAAGAAAATCTGGGGTAATAGAAAATGGACAGAGGAGTTGTAGCTGCCTTAAGAAAACCAAAAGAATCTGCAGCGGGAGAACTGACAAGGGCTGAGCCATTCAGCCCCGGAGGCTGAGGAGCAGTCCCACAGAAGGTGGGATGGAGGGCACACCCAGGGCTAGCGTAGGAGTTGCACAAGCTGGTTGAACTGCCAGTTTCCCTTTCCTACCCCAGCCACCAGTACTACCAGCAGCTCCCTCTGCCTGGCTGGCAGACTGGAGATTTAATCAGAGGATATATTGAATCAGAGGAGTTCTCGATGGGGAAAGACCAGCAGAAGGGAATAAACCTTGGAGTAGAAAGCAGGGGAGTTCAGTAAAAATCAGCCCAGTAAACTGTGGAATTCCCAACCCACTCCCCTTCCTGATGGGGAAAGCTGACCATTTGGTGACTGCCTCCTCCCCTACCCTTCATAGAAAAGGAGAACTTCTCTGAAGAGACTCAGTGGACCCTGGTTACTGTCACTGGGCCAGTTTCTCTATAGCTGACTTGTCCAGTCACTCCTAATGAAGCCTGCTAGTCAACAACCACCCTGTGTATACACCCACACCCACAAGCTCCCACCCAGCATTTTAGGGCTTTACTTTTAAATACGAACTGGCGATCAGGGATCACCAGATGTTTGATGAAAGCTTCCAACACAAAAGACGGATAGCAAACAATGAAAAGAAATAATCAGAAGATAATATGGGGAATTGGAAGAAAATGACAAAAAAATACTACTTTCAGTTTATTCAAATTAGAGACATATTACAGTCACAAAACAAGAATAGGATGCTTTTCAAAAGGAATAACCAAGCTTTGCGCAGTGGCAGCATCGTAGCCAATGAGGTTTATCCGAGGCACGATTATTGCTAATTGAAAAAAGGAATAACCAGTGGCGCCTGGTTGACTTGGTTAAGCATCCAACTCTGAGTTTCAGCTCAGGTCTGGACCTCATGGGTTGTGGGATTGAGCCCTGCATTGTGCTCTGCGCTCAGTGGGGAGTCTGCTTGAAGTTTCTCTCCCTCTGTCCCTCCCCCTACTCTCATGCTCACTAGCTGCCCGCCTCCCCCATGCTCCCTCTCTCTCAAATAAATAAATCCTGAAGAAAAATGGGGGCGGAAGGGGATAACTAAAAACTCTGAAAGAGCCCTAATTAAAAATACAGTATCAAAAGTTTAAAAAAAAACAGTGGGGGAGCCTGGGTGGCTCAGTCAGTTAAGCGCTCGACTCTTGGTTTCAGCTCAGGTCATGAGATCCAGCCCCACATGGGTTCCATGCTCAGTGAGGAGTCTGCTTGAAATTCTGTCTCTCCTCCCTCTGCCCCTCCCCACTCTTGCACGCACTCCCTCCCTCCCTCTCTCCAAAATACATCTTAAAAAATAAAATAACATAATAAAAGAGTTGGAATGTGAAGTCTGTCAGAGATGGGGGAACAAAAAGTGGAAAAAAAAGTAAAATGATTAGAGAAGAAATCAGGATATGTAAAATCCTTGTCAGAATTCCAGAAAGTAGGGAGAGATAAGAAACATTTAAAATAGATTTTTCAGACCTAAAGGACATAATTTTTTATATGGAAGAGGTGAATCAAGTGCCCAGTAAAATAAATGAACTAAGTCCCACACTGAGACAGACCATTATGTAGTGTACAGGGCTTCCAGAAATAAGCATCCCCCTACCAAAGTCCTATACAAAGGAAGAAGAAATGACGGCTGACTTCTCAATAGCAAAACTGGATGTTAAAAATAGTGGAGCAATTATCTTTAAAATTCTAAGGGAGAATCACTTGAGTTCTGTAATACTCTACCCAGCGAAATATCAGTCAAATGTCAAGATAAAGATAATTTCAGACACACGGGGACTCAAATTTACCTCTTATGCATCATTTCTTAAGGTGGTTCTTGGAGAATGATCTCCAGCAAATAGAAATTAATGAAGAAAGAGGAAGGTGTGGAGTCCAGTTAATGAGAGCTCTAACACGGGATCAGGAAGGGGACATGCAAGGGTAACAGCGTGGCAGGGACAGTCAGGCCAGACTGAGCAAGAGGACGGAGAGTCCTTGGAGGAAGTTTTGGGGGGGGTAGTGGAATGGAAGATTAGCTGACAACTTTGTGCATTTGAAAAATACTGATAGACTTCTGCTAGATGTGATAGAGCATGTGGAAAAATTTAAGGTGGATTCATGCAAAACTAAGCTGGGAGGAGGGGGATGAGATGACTGTTAATCCCAGGAGAAACAAAGACTGTACCAAGAAAGGAAACATAATCCTTAGTACATTCCTTGTATATTTACAGAGTCATAATAAACCCTGACTATCGACTTACCAGGAAATTGCCGTTTACTTATATAGGAAGGATTGAAGTAGGGAAAGTGGGGTGGTGTGGAGAGCTGAGTCCTCATCTCCTATGGTAGAAAGCCAGTAGTTATCATCCAAAATTGAAAAATCAAGAATATTATCCCAAACTATGGCAATAAGTACAAGAATAAAAGCTTAGTTGAAAGTGCTCTTGGGAGTAAGTTAAGATTTGAGGGAAGGTTGAGCCAGGAGTTGTTTTTCATGATAAGCCTTTATCACTGTTTGATAAAATAAAAGTTACTGTGTTCTCTCTGTACTGATTTATAAAGGGGAAACTTTTTATCCTGCAGAGCATATATATCAAGTATCTGCCCCCTTGAATGGTGGGTATTTTTCATTCTTTTTATTGCCTGGTCCTCTGCAAACAGGTTCACATTTTGAGGGGGAATAAGGAGACTTAAGTGGTCGATCCGGAATGATTAATACTGTGAAGCTCATTATTTGTAGGTGGAGCAAATACATTCAGTTGCCATGTGTTCTGAGTCAAGAGGTCAGAGCCCCACAGGAATTATCTATTGTCTCTACTTCGATTTAGGATATTTTAAGTTTGATCAACATTCCAAATAATTGTCTGTCTTCTTACTGTAGCATTTGTCTCTATGTTTATGACTTTCTAGTGCCACAGGAATGACACTTTTAAAAATGAAAACCATGACATTTGCACAGCTATGGCATCATGAAATCCATGGGAGGGAAACCATGCCTTCCCATCTGCTGTGTGCACAGGACCTACCGCTTGGTGGTTAATACCTAAGTACTTTATGAATAAACAAGCTCTCTTAGAAATTTCTGTTCAGTTGATCAAAACATTGCTCATATAATGAAGTTCCGATCATGTGCACCTGTTTTTAACATTAGCCTGACAACCATTAACCTGCTTAAACCCCAAAGGGAGCATCGGCTTCTGGACCCGTAGCCCCTGTGGGGTGTGCTTTGTAGGTATGCATGTCTGCTACTTGCTCCATTTACAGTAGGTTCTAGGCAGCCCTTGGGCAATGGAAACCTGCCAGGATTACATGCCTTGCTGGTGCAGGGACCCTGTTCCATCTGTAAGGAAATATGTGCTCTCCATTATTTTGAAAGAAACGTTCATGGCTTTGTAGACTCTACTGTCAAGCATACATTGGTATCCCAGGCTATGTAGTGGCAAAATCTGAAGATTATTTGATCAACTGTTTGCTTATTTTATTTGTTTTGTTTTATTTGTCAGAATGTTATGGAACAGTTCAATCCTGGGCTACGAAATTTAATAAACCTAGGAAAAAATTACGAAAAAGCTGTTAATGGTAAGTCTCTTTTCTAAATTTATAAATATAGTGCACATATAAAAACCAGTAAATATTTTAGTTATTTTGAAGTGCTTAGTAGTGAATTTTTAAAGTGTCTTTAAGTTGATAGAAATTATTTACATTTAATTCTGTGGAAGTTTGCAATGATAGGATATTGGTGTATTTGAAATAAATAAATGGAATCATAGACTTAATAACTGATGCATTTTAATGATCAAATCATGGTTATTGACATGACTCATATTTTGTATCATTGCCATCAATAGGTTTTCCACTTTGCAAACCAAATTCTTTGTGAACTAATAACATATGAAATATGTACTTAAAATATTTGTTAGTATCTTGTAGCAGAGGAATTGTTCTCTTTATAAAGAAGAGTTTCTTGCCTTTGGGCGCATAACTTTTGATAGTGATATGAACAGATTTTTAACCTGAATGGAAAAACATCTAAATTAAAGGTTGAACTTAGATTCTCATTTCAAAATGAGCGCTTCCTGTAAAATGAATTCAAGCATTGGCTTTTGCCTCTCTTTTGTGAACCAGATTTGTTTGCTGGTTTCAGGAGGTTTCATTTGAGAAAGCTGACATGCATCTACACATGCATTTCCCTCCTAAAAGGTGAATGTTATCAATGATCACCTTAAAAACTTGAGATGCTAATAATCACTAGATTCTAACATGGTCAAAACAATTCTCCTTATGTAACAAGTATCACCCCAAAATATTTACACCCCAGTTTCACCCTCTACCCTGGTTCACTAAGACCACCAATAACATGAGTAGAATAGTTTCCAATGGTTTTAGATTTGAAGAAGACTTCAGATCAAGTTTTGTCTTTTATATATCTCTTGTTTCTCCCTTTCACCATGGCCCACCTTTGGCTGCTCCCTCTTGAGATTTTGAAAATAAACCCGTGACCTTACACACCCGCAGCATAAGCATGCCCCAGGAAAAGGCGGTATTGGTAACTGGACTTTGGATGACAGGTGCCCAGTTGTCATAGCCATGGAAAAGTAAAGTGCTTATTTACTTTCTTCTGCATCCCTGTGCTGTTTGCCAGACATTTTCAGCGCTGGGAAATCCTCCCTCATCCCCCACGCAGTATCAGTGACTTCTGTAGGTAACCCCTCACCCCTTCAAAGAGCAGGAAGGAGACTTGTGTTAGAATTCTTGCACAACTGCCTCTCCCTTGATGACTGCTTAGTCACAGGGCCACAAAGTCATTGCCTTAGATGCCCCTGTGAAGGAAATCAACCTGACCTGCAGTGGTTTTTTTTCTTTCTAGCACTTGCTGCCTCTCTGGTGCAGAGTTTTATAAGGTCTCAGGGACCTGCCAGCCCCTTAGTCTCTTGCTAACAAGGCTTCTCCCCAAAGGGACTATTCTGCACTTCTAAAGTATTTCCAGTATTTTTGGCAGGCCATCTGTTTTTTTTTTTCTGAAGCCATTGAGAAATCGAGATGAATTTGTAAAGTCTTGGTAAGAATTTGTGGCATAGTTTAGGATGCCAGATGTGTAGTCAACACTTAGGTCGTAAATCAGGACAACATGCACAGCTAACAAAGAGCATGGAATGAGCTGTGTCACAGGAATTTGAGTAGTGGAGGTTGGTGGGGAGCGGAGCAGGCAGTGGACCTTGTAGGAGCTCTGCTAGCTGACAGACCTTATGTTTCAGGCAGAAAAGACCGCTTCCAAGCCAAGATCTGAGGTCCACACTGCCATGGGTGGGAAGCTGTTGGGGAATAAAATACAGCGTGGAGTAGGGTCAGGTTATGAATGTATTTGAATGCAGCATCAGTTACCTATTGTCACATAATCAAGTGTCCCTAAACTTGGTGGCTTAAGACAATAGTTTATCATTTCTCAAGGTCCTGTAAAGGTAGTGCAGTTCTCTAGCCCCCAGGGACTCAATCCTGCAGCTGCAGTTAGTGGGGGTGCTGGGCTTCCTCCCTTCCTTCTTCCCTCCCTCCCTTCCGGGGACATAGCAGGCTGTTCTAAGAGTGCAAATCCCTGTGGGAGTTATACTTGCTGGCTCCCCATTGGCCAAGGCAAGTCAGATGACCAAGCCACCCATCAGTGTATAGGCAGCTACAGAGGTTGGGAATTCTGGGAGGTGTAGTTTATTGAAGGCCATTACTATACAAATCTATCATGAACTCTCTGGAGTATGGGCTTACGCTATGGGCAGTGGAGGCCATTAAAAGTTTTTGAGCAGAATTGTAACCTAATGAAATCATGTTTTAAGGAAAAGTTATCTGGTAGAAGTATATAAATTAGATTGAATTAATTGGTCAACCACTAAAATAGAAAAATATTATGCTTTGTTCCTTAAAACAGTATGTGATAGAAAATCGCTTAATGTAGTCACAAAGTGGGGATGGCAAAATTATGAGAATATTATTTGATTCTTTATTAAGTTCTGGATAAATTATATAGTTTTTAAAGTTAATTCCACTTTATCGTAAAAGCAAGGGAATTTTACCATTCTGAGGTTAGTTTTCAAAACAAATCATCCGTTAATGAAAAATTTCAACGTAATGTGTGAATGCAAACCAAAAATTTTGTTTATATATTGTATAAATCTGCATGCCATTCTCCCACCGATTTGCCTTTCAGCTTTATCAGTATCTTAAAATTTAAAATCTTCATATTAAAATATTACATGTATTAGCTTGACAGTTTATTGGCCACCAACCTTGTTTTTAGGTGGAGTCCTCTCTTTTTCAGTTCTAGCTGAGACCAAGGAGTCAAAAAGCACTCTAATTTAGAACTGGGGAAGTGACCTTAGCTGGAGTTGTATGCGTACTCCCTCTGAATTGCCACTGACCTTGGGCATGTCCCAGCGTATCTCCACTCCCTCCCTCCTTCATGAAACAGGGTGATAATACCACTGACCCATGTCTTCATATTCTTGGGTAGATGAACTTACGTAATGGCTTGGAAAGTCCACATAAATGCTACTTGTTATTGTTCTTTTTTACAATTATACTTCAAGGTTATTCTCAGATTTATGAAATAACTATATAATAGAGCGTTACAGTTGTTAAACTTGTACAGATATATAGTAAAAGCCGTAACTTCTGTAATATTTTAACTCAACAAGAAAGGCGAAAATGAATGAATTTGCCATGAAAGTACTACTTTTCTGGCCAGTAATATCTTCAGCTGGACGTGTACATAATTTGTTCTGTGGACCTCCCCCCCCTTTTTATATTTGAAATGCCCTTTTAATTCACCATTTTAAAACAATACCCATTATAAAATTGGGGCAAAGCAGTTGGCATGACCTCTGGTTTTCTTTGTGGTAAAAGGAAAGGAATCTTAGAGATTCCTAAGGGCTCTTTTAGCTCCAAAATTCTGTATTCTTCAAAGTTAGTCTTTGAACTAAAATAAATTTTCTTCAAAATCACCCTAAATAGGCTAGGTCTTGTTGAAAAGCCTGCTTGTTGTAAAGTGAAAGAAGGAATCCGTATTAATAGCTTCCATTTGTTTGTTCATTTCTCACGCTATTAGGACATTTTATAGATGACCGTCCTTTGTTTCAGAAAGGATAGCTACCTTGCCCAAGGAGGTCATGTCATTAGAAGTAAAGGTAGATGAGCAACCAGTAACTTGAAATAAACATGTACTTTCCCACTCTGGTGGGAAAAAAAAAAAAAAAGTAAAGGTAGAATTCAAACCCGGGTCTCTCTTGCCCCCAGTTCCTCTCCCCAAAGGAAAAGAAAAGAAAAATCAAAAACAAATTTTTGTACCTTATAATTTAGTTATCAGAATCAATTGGAAAGAAGAGATATTATTTTTAAGATTATTAGAATCCAGTTTCTACAGAAATAAAAGTTTCCTTTATCTCTGCCAAAAAGGTGGGGGGAGGATAGAATCTTCACTTATTTTTCAGGTAATTCTGTTGTGTTTTTAGAATGACAATGTATTTCAAATTTCATAGATTTTCCCCCTGACAACAAATATGTTATTGGTTGTGGCTCAGAATACCTTTTTCAATAGAAAGAAAAAAAAAAACCATTGAAAGACCAGGTTCCTGGGCCATCCCGTACAAGTTCTTTTAACTAATTAATGTTGCAGACCTGTATATCTATAGAATAGCCATCTGAGAAAAGATTTCTTGCTGAAGTGGATGTGTTTGTAGCCCTAATTTGATGTTGAAAACATATCCACTCTGGCAGGGCCTTTCTGTTCCAGAGCCTGCTGGGTTGAAGGTTCCCCAGGTCTGGTCTAAGGTGAGGATCCTATAGGGTTTTCCACCGAGTGGGGGCCTCTGCCCCTGGCACAGCTATTAAGCACAAGCCCTGCCTTCTGAGAGCCACCCTTGGCACAGCCCAAACCTTCCTGCAGCCAGAAGGGACTGAGGGATATTTGGAAGCAAACCTCCGTGGCACTTCCTCTTTTCTTTGTCTAAGTGATGACTTTTGTGTGTCACCTTCCTTGTCTAGCTATGATCCTTGCGGGAAAAGCCTACTACGATGGAGTGGCCAAGATTGGTGAGATTGCCGCCGGGTCCCCTGTGTCAACAGAGCTGGGTGAGCTGACCGTCCATTACATACAAACACAAATTGAGCTGGTTCCAGGGCCTTTCCTCCTGTGAGCCCTTGTCAGAATACATGAAGTGGCCCAAATCCAGATAGTAAGAAAGGCTAGCCCGGTACTCCAGTGTGTTCACTTTTGGAATGATTGAGTTTGCTGTGGTCTGTTGAAAGTGGAAGCTTAGTTAGAGGGTAGGCCAAGGCCAGTGGCTGGTCTCCCTGCTCCCTAGGAATTGGGCTTCTGCCTCTAAACTTGGGGCCCTAGCCCTTCCCCTTGGATCCCTGGAGCATGAAGCCCAGGGAGCTTTGACCTACATTCTTAAGGAGATGGGCACGGCGGGCCTCCTGACTCTGGCAGGAGTGTTTCCTGTGACTCACCTAGCAGAAAGTCAGACTCCTTTACGTCCTGCTCTTGGCTCTCGCTGCTTCCACAGTTGCTCTCCGTTGTGATTTTTCCGGTTTTGCTGGTATGAATTGATCTCCTGTGCACATGAGGACGGCAGCCATACCCTTGGCACCAGCAGCTGCCGAGGGAATCTGGGTTTCTGTTTACAGAGTCCATTCACTCCTCCTCCTAAGGGTGGAAAAGTCACTGCTTTTCCTTTTCTAATAGCCCCACACACAACAGTCATTTTTAAATCTTGAATAAAGGATAAATATGTTTTATTTTAAATATTTTATTTTACAAAGGGTAACATTTCTGGCTTCAAAATATTTGTCATAATTTGAAATGTTCAGAATAGCAGAGGAAGATATTGTCAACGTGTGTATTTAAAGAGAAGTGTTTCTCCAATTAACAAGCAGCAAGGGAAGCTGGGGGGGGCGGTCTTGTAGGATTCAAATAACTCACATCATTTCTATATAAAGTGTCTTAAGGGTTTTCAAGATTGTTTGGAGAACTCTTACCTGACCCATAGAAGTGGAGGAACAAATTCAAGGTGTGATAATAGTGCTGGGGTTGGGGGCTGGGCTGCAGGATGTGAAGTGGAACTGGGAGCTCAGGAACATTCTCTTGACAACTTCGGTTCTTGGAGAGTTTGTAAAGAGTCTTGAAACCTAAGCCTGAAGTGATGTCATGTGATGAATAAGTCCGTACTACTCTATTTAATAGAATCAGTTACATGCAGACGTTTTTCAAAGCCCTGACTTGTGTTCTGTTGGTTCCGTCACTTGTGCGTGTTCTGGCAAGGGATGGACTCTAGAAACTCTGTCCTCAGCAGAGTCAGTTTAATAAAATACACACTGCATTGTGTAGACAGAAGCAGATAGTAAAACTTACTGGGATGATGGAGATGATTAGAGGTTTCCAAAAATAGGATTAAATTAAAAAGAAACATCCTATTTGTGTCAGGCGCCATGGGAAAATGTCTGACCCCTACGTCAAAGCATATGGTACTCTGATTCACCATCATTCAGTTTGCCTTTTTAATATTTTCTGGTTCTTGCCACTGTTTAAATAAGATTTCTGTTCCACACCTTACTTTATTCAGCTGTAAATTCGTAACGTTGAATCAGCTATTTCCACAGCAACTGTGTTGTTGTAAACACAGGCTGAAAACTTCTTAAGTTTCAATGAGGAAAATATGTTGCAGTGGCGAAATTTCTTTCATGTGGATATGCGTTGTATTTGGAGGGAATGGAAATAACTTCTGTGTTTTATTTTTATTTCAAGTTGTCTTTTTTGCTTATATTCACCATGGTATAGTTAGTAATTTTCTGCTCATCTGCAGCAATTTCACAATAAAGTGCCACCCTAGCAAGCGTTGCTTTCGGGGGCCTACTGTTTAACTTGTTTTCATGTGCCTGGTTTTTTATTTTGTTTAAAGTGTAGACTAAAATACTACCCTATGTCTGTTTAAATTCCCTGTATGAAAGACTAATGAATTCATAGAAGAAAGAGACCTAAGGTAGATTGTATTTCTCTCATTTTTCAAGGTTTTATTGTCTAATTACTGACTTGTGATGTTGGTATTCATAACTTTATTATGAAACATTATAAATCCCATCTGATAAGACTGAAGGGGCATTTCATATGTGAAGATCATGAATCAATTCAAAATTTTCATTCCTGAAGAGTATTGTCTCTGAAAAATCTTTGTGTGTGTCCCTCCCCCACCCAAACCCCAGCAAATCCTAGTTTGAAAATTTTCAGTTTAAAAATTTTGCTCAGGAAGGAAGTGAAAGGGATGCTAAAGAATTCTTATTTCTAAATCTGAGATTAGAAGAGTAGTTTTCATTTTAATGTTGAATTCAGATATTTTTTAATGTTGCTGTAGGACAACCTTTCTTATTTTATATACTTTTTTTTCATGAAATTATTATACTTACTCTGATACTTTTGTACTTTGGGAGGTGGGTGAAGAAAATACGCTCTAGGTAAAATATTGACCTAATTCATAGAAATTTGCTGTGAGGATTCTACTTGGAAAACCTGGCCAAATGTATTATGAGTATTAGAGTGGCAGAACTGAGCATTTCGGTCTCTCTTCTCACTTTAGGGGGGAAAAAAGGAGCTAAAAGCTGGAGGAAAAAGGTGATTCACCTTTTGCTTATTTTGTACTTGTCATTTGGATTGGCATCTATTAAGACAGAGCTGTAACCATGCCATTTCTGATTGCTGTGGGTGTTTCCATTTAGATATCCCTCCTAACACATCAGCTCACCAAATGCTACATGCTTTTGCCTAAAAGTAACAAATACCCAATTAATAGTGGCTTAGGCATTAAGGATGTTCATTAACCCACATAAAAAAGCCAGGAGTAGCAGATTCCTGGTGAGGTAATGATTACTCAGAACTCAGGTTCCTTCTCTCCTTCTCATCCTCAAGCCCAACTCATGGTACCAAGATGGCTGCCATTGCTAGTCTTAGACATCACATCCTCTCTCCTCCCATTGTATCCAAAAGCAGAAAGGGGGAATTTCTTCTCAGTTGTGCCCTTTACCAAGGAGGAAACCTTTCCCCAGCAGCCCCAGCACACACATCCTCTCTCACGTCTCATGACCCTGCAGCCAGAGAGCTTTCCCCAGCGTGCTTAGCCAAGGAATACATCTGAGGGAGAGAGGACATAGCTGTTAGGACATCTAATGACGCCACCACGTCCGGCAGCTCTGGTATCAAAGGTGCTGTTTCAGCAATTTTCAATGAAAGGAAAGGACTTACACAGATGTCCTCACTTTAGCTGTGCCTCAGACTGCATAGTGCTCCTGGCGTTCTGTGTCTCTGAGTGGGATTCTCTATTTCTCCCACAAGGGGTGTGGTTTCACTAGCTGTGTATACTTCAGACATTACGATTGTTGCTTCTCCTGGACACTTGCCTTTTCTTCTGCAAACCATAGCCATCCTTTGCAATCTATTCCTACTTGGGAAGTGGGACTCCAAGCACAGAAGAAGAGTTAGGGATTTGCAAGTAGTTTCTGTTTTTCTGCCCTTTTGTTTTTCTTTTCAGCCTTTGGGCGACTTGTAATCATGAACTCTGAGGTGCATTTTCTCTGCCTCTGCTACTTTCCTTTCTTTCCTCCTCTCTTCTTCCTCTTTGCCCATGTGTCTGTGTGACCTCACAGCCTCATTTTTGAAAACTGGAGAGAAAAAACATCACCTGTAATTGTACCACTTAGTCACCACTGTATTCTTTTCTGGTCTTTTCTTCCCTTGAGGATGCTCATATATAGCATGCCTCCCAGCAAACGTCGGGTGCTGGCTCTGCCAGGCACAGGGCGCAGCACCTGATGGAGTCATTTCATCTCACAGGCCCAACGGCCCTATGAGTTGGGTGTAGGCACTTTCACTATCTCTGACTTACAGGTAAGACCTGGAAGGGAAGGGTGTGCCTTAGATCACACAGTTGATAATAGGTGGTTCAACCTTAGAATCTGAGTTCCTCATCTCTGCACTTTACCATACTTCACCGAGGCAAAGGGAAAAAGAGCCAGCCAGCCAAGAAGGGGCCATTGAAAAGGAAGAAGATGGGAACCCCACGATGGGGACCTTTTCAAGAGGGAGATGAGCAGGAAGCAGAGTGTCAGTGGCCAAAGACAGCAGAGAGGCTGACAGTTGTGGTGATTAGAGGTCACTGGTCCCCTTGGAAAGGGTGGGTGCTGACCATTAATGCCAGGTGTTATGTTACAGGGTTAGGAAGGATGGAAATTCAGAGGTTTACGTGTGTGTGTGTGTGTGTGTGTGTGTGTGTGTGTGTACACATATATGTGTTTATGTAAGTGTAAAATATATATGTATATGTAAAACATGTTCTATAATAGCATATATGGCTCTTACAAGTATTGCTTGACTTTTGCACTTCTGCTGTGCTTCATACAGAAACTCAAGTCTCATTAAGTTCCTTCCCTGCTGTGTGTCATGTACTTCATACATTGCCTCAGCTCATCCTCAGGAGTCTCGTGGATGAATTTTTCCGTCGTGATCTGCAGGGTGGGCAGTAACCCAGTGTTCCCTTGATGTGGCTAATAGGCCCTAAGGGTAAACTTGGCGGTCACCTTCTTCCGCATGGCAGGGAGAGGGAGAACCTCCATGGGCAACCACATTGGGTCCTGTGTCTCTGACTGTGTGCTCTGCAGGCAAGCCAGACAGAACAAGGGTTATAAGAGTTGGTGACCCCTAGAAAGTATGGTAGGTGGCGTCGGTGTCATGTGAGTCAGAGAGCTTGCCCCCTCCCCAGCTGAAGCACAGGAAAGATCCTGGGGCCTAGGACAAGGAGGCCAGGCTGATTTTATTTTCCGTTGAGACCCTGGCGGATAGCATGCTGCCAGACACCTAAGAGATGCTCAGTGTGGTTTGCATTGTTACTTTGCTGCTGTCAACTGGTGTGACGTTGGGCAACACTGCATGTCGGTGAGCCAGTTGGCATTCCTAAAGGGGATGATGGCAACACCTTCTGGGTTGTTTGAAAATGAGATAATGTGCCTTGTGGATTTTAAAGTTTTAAAGACCAGAAAGATGCCTCTCTGTTGCCCCTTCATATAAGCACAAATATTCGGAACTC